GGGACCATTTGAAACCCACATTGTTGAGGTATATCCCGCATCAGAGGCTGAGAGGCTCACCATGATTGTCTCCCTGTTCTCACCGTCAGCTGAAGCCTCAAAACATCTCTACACTTGAAGGGGGAAAAAAAAAAGAAAAGAAAAACAATTTGGACCATCTGTGTATCAGAAAGAGCGAGGATGTAAAGTGTTTGTGAAGACAATATGGTGCTCCTATTGATCCATGTGAGCTGAGCATATGGATGCGCCGAGAGAAAGTCTGCCCTATTTTGTGACTGGGGCCGATAAGGAGCTGTTTCCAAATCTGTATTCCTCCCAGCACGGTGTCTGGAGCACGTTGACTCATGTTACTGATGAGTCCCTTGAATTAAGCAGAGGCCATCATCTCTTGCATCTCTATAGCATTAATCGAGTTGTGTGAGAAAAACTGCAGGTGCATGTGAGGGGAAGGGAAACACAGAAATAATGCTCCTGATTTCAGAGAAGAGGGAAATAGGAAAGGGTGAGCAGGCATGTAGCCGACAGCCTGCGAGCCAGGGCGTCTGTGTGGGTGATACAGCAGGATCATCATTTCAGGTGGAGAAAGACATCTTTAGGCCTAATATGGGATGGCAGCCTAGTCATGGGCTTTAGAATTTTTCTCATGTATGAAGACATTTACCAAACGAAAGTCAAAGACCCAAGCTCTTAGAAAACATTTTACTGCACTTCTTGGTGTGTTGAGTTGGTAACATTTGGATATTAAACTGTTGAGAGTCCAAGAATTTTCTAGTGTTCTGCAGAGGCATAGTTGAGAATGCTGGAGATATAGGCATTTGCTGGTGGTGTGTCCAATACCGTCACACTGCCTGAACTTCAGAGATGTGTCTCTGGATTCAGATAAGCCCCTGCCTTTCAAGATGCCTCTGCCTGTCACCCAGTATGGTTACGTGTATGTAGGTGCTTGGTTTGTTGTTCCTGCACGTACTTTCTGGATCGCACAGCCATGACTTTTAGTAATCAAGGGTCATTTTAGCTACACCAATACTTAATCTTCCATAAGTTGTAATCTTGAAACTGGGTTATACTATTAACCACTAGTGAGTGCTCAATATGTAATAGAGTAACACAGCACATTCTCAAATTTTAGTACACCTAATTAAACTAAAATACAGTTATGTAGATGATAAAGAGATGATAGCTATATTTGAGAATCCTTCCAAACGTTTGGGGCAAATGAACTTGATTTTGTTGCAATTTTGTTAAATTCACACATTTGTGTTTTTGTTTTTTTATTTTTCATTCCAGAGGCTCATAGATTTCCACTTCCATCCTCCCCTACCCCCCCCCAAACTGTTTTCCCCTATATTATTACAATAGAATAGTCCTTCAAAAACAAGCACGAATCTATCATTCTGGTATTTAAATGTATCCTGACATGCATTTTTGCATGAATGTTTTGAAGACTGCCTCAGAGAGAAGTAACAGTTGTGTCTCCAGTCTCTGAATTGCAATTTTGTATGGCAAGAATGGAAAGCATCCAAAATGTTAGAATCTTGCATGTGCTTGAAGTGGATCAAATGCAGGGCTCATGGATCCCTGTCTCTGGAATATTAGCTAAAGTGAATCTCTCAAAGGGCCCTGATTTTCCTGTTCCTGGATGAAAGCCAGGAAACAGTCTTCCAGGATTCTCTGTCCCTTCTCCCTGTCTGTGAAAGCACTGCAGATTCTACTGTACAGAGTCTTGTGCAGCAGAGTTTGCAGCAGAGTAAATTCCTTTTAGGATTATAGGATTAGAAAGCTGAAAGGTGATTCAAATTCTTGATTAAACAGAAAAAAGGAAGCAGGAGGGGATGCCCTAAGCACCCACATCACACCAATATGTTTTCTCTATAATTAAGGGAAGTGATTGCAAAATATTTGAGTGGCACTAAATGCTCAGAGGATATAGTGATCAAAAAGCTTGAGATGCTCCATTCTTTCACAAGACCATGCCTTGGTTTTGCCTGTGTTTGTGAACTGCTGTTACTTATACCTCATAGAGGGAATGCCCCAACAGAAAGACTTCCTCTTGTAAGTTTGGAGAATAACCCAGGGTCTCATTGTGGGAGAACATCAGATTCTAACCTGGATTATTCTATGAGTTTTAAAAATATAGTTCAAAAAATGTATTGGCTGATCCATTGGAGAGGGAGGACCACATTAGACAAGAGAGAGAATTTCTACCCTCTGTTTGACCACCCAGTTGCTTGTCCTGGGCTGGAGGACTGGACCTGGGAGCTGAGAACTCAAATCAGGTCTCCCAGATGGGTGGCAGGAACCCAGATGATGCAGCATCTGCATTCACGGGCAACTGAAGTCAGAAGTAGAGCCACGAATCAAAGCCACGTGCACAGCTCTGGGACACATGTCCCTTATTTGGCCTCTTATCCACCAGGCTACATGCTTACCCTTTCTGTGATGTTTTTCCATTGTGACAAAAATAAAATATAAAATCCTTGTTCAGTTTTTTTTTTCCTTATTTGTAGAGTTATAATAATTCCCACAATGATTTTCTATGCTTTTGCCTTTTGGATTGATATGTTGTAATCCAACAGTATTTTTTTTTTAAAACAAAGGAGGGAGTACTGTTTTAAATCTTTTCTAGGACAAGGGAGCAAATCTTTCTATAAGTAAATAATCACACTTATTGAGTAGGTTTCAGATGCTAAGCTTTTTGGGAATTCAGGGATGTGTTCCTCCCCTAAGGAGATTAGAGTTGGATGGAGAGGGAGTCATGATGTAAGGTGCTAGAAATGGATTCGGGGTGGTTTCCCAAGCGAGGAGGTCCTGTATCCAAACGTCAACATGGCATCTAGGCACCAATGGCCATGGCCTGGGAGGCTCCCTGGTCGGCATGGTATAGGGCTGAACTCCAAAGTTTAGATCCAGGATGGGACACTACGTTCAGGACCAGCTCCACGGGATTTCCACTTCTACTGCCACAAAGGGCCCCACAGTTAGAAGAACTGCCACCTGGGTCAATGCAGTATTCTAGAACCTTTAGTTTTTGATCAAGCATCTTCAACTTTATGGTACACTAATCTCCACAAATTTTGCCACTGATCTGACTCAGATTCGATGTGCCTTTAGGCCGCTTCTCCCTGTGAGATGAAAGAAACTCAGAATTGATTTATATGATTATGAAAGTAAAATGTAAGAATATCTAAATATCTGCGTTAGCCTGATACCCCGATCTGATCATTATGCCATATCAAGCGTTGAAGTGTCTGTCATACTATATATATATATAAACTACTAGTATAAATTCAAAATACTGCTATTATTATGTATTATGATTATAAAGTGCCTTGTTTCTAGTATATTTAATAAATATTATGGTTAAGGAGAAGAAAGAAGCGGCTGACCAACTTTTTCCAGTAAGAGCTGTTATAGTAAATATTTAAAACCTTGCCAGCCCTGCAGTCTCTGTTGCAGTGATACAGCTCTGCCCTTATAATCTGACATAAATTAATAGTGCAGCTGTGTTGCAATGAAACTTTAGTTTGAAAAACTGGTGGGCAGAGTTTGTTAGATTGGAGGCTAGAGAGGCGGAAGACAAAGAAAGCAAGGTGAATGATCTGACGGTTTCAAAGAATGTTCTAAACACAAGCAGCATCGATCTTGCCTGTTGGAAGTTCAGGGCCACATTTCTTGCCTGACACTTCACGCATCAGAAACTGAATCAGAAATTTTCAGTCATTACACAGGTGATTCTGATGGGTAGCTTAGCTTTGAGCACTAAAACAAAAACCTAAAACAAAGCAATTCAATGATGTCAAAGTATAAAGCAAAAAATAAACTTAAGACTTTATCAGTTGGCGGTTGGTAAGTGGACAGTCTCCCATCTTTATGCTCCTTACAGTGGCCAGTACACTTCCAACTTTTGCTCCAGTTGATCCATTCACAACTATACTGACTGCGAGGACAATGTCTTACAGAAAACAATCTGAGTGATTGGTTTTCTCCATTTTCCACAGGCTGCTTCATAGCTAGTACCACTTTTATTGCACAGGAGAAGCATCAGTTCATTATATACAATGAGAGCATCAGTTCACGAAAATACGGCATCTAAACCATCACCTAGGAACTTGGGAGAAATGAGTTTTTTAACTCCATTTGAAGCCTACCATGGATGCCGTCCCTGCACTTTTGTTCAACAGTCATTCAGGTTTTTCCGAACATATTCTGGAGACCCACTGAGTTAGGGCAATGAGGCTTAATTGTCAGTCCTGCTTGGGAAAGGCTGCCACAATCACCAATGGAGATTGAGTGGCATTTAAAACGATTACCCTTGGGCACTTGGCAGGTACCAGGAAAGTTGTGGATTTGAGCCCAAGTTTTTCAGTCCTGAATCTAGTACCTTTTATATTCTGCCAAATAAAAGTAGAAATAAACAAAATTCCTCATTGCCCCAGCCTCTTAAATTTAACATATGAATCCACTTAACTCCATAAAACAATGGGCTGCATATGGTTCTTTAATGCTAGAACAAAAGCTGTCTCATTTGACACTCTGAGAAGACTCAGCTCTCTCACTTGAGCTAATAATGTAATTTTAGTTTTCCTTCATTTCCTAGGTGGGAATTAACTGCTTCTCATGCTGATAATATCTGTATCATATATTTACTTGTATATAATATAGATTAACTGATAATATAGTTTGGTATATGTACACTTGAATATGAATAAAATTCTTCAACTAAATTTTGCTTGGGACCGTGAAGGTAGAATTTCAGAACTCAAGCATTGAAAGACAAGCAGAGGTGTGGTGGGTGGGCTGGGGAACCTTGAACCAGGCTTTCCAGCTCCCTGAACCAAATTACATATGATAGATACACATTTTCTAAACAGCTTTTTTTTCTACCATGAAAATGTTCTAAAACACAGGAAATTGAAAATATTAATACAATGAACAGCTGTGTACCTTATATCTAGATTCCAATACTACTAACATTTGCCAAACTGATTAAATTTACTTACCCATTTAAGAAACAGATTGCAGGCAACATGGCTATGGACTACTACCCACCTCAGCATGCATCCCTTAATCCTGAGGGCATTCCCTTACATAACCACATTACCATTATCAGATAGGGCAAATGAACACTAATTCTGAATCAGTTAAACGTTTACTCACAGTAAATACTCCAACATGTTTCCAATCCTTCCCCTGTGAAAAATGGGTTTTGGAGTACAATGAAGGCCCTGTCTCCCTTCCATTCTTAGCAAAGTCTGTCTGATATGTATACACCTGCTGTCCAACACATGGCTTCCAGAACACTTTATCTTCCCTCGGTTGCCCTGAGATGTCAAGGAAAAGACATAGATCAGGAACTAACATTATTAACAACTTAGATCCTCTTCATTTACAAGCCCACTGAGTAGGGAGGTTCTGTTGTTGAATGATGTGCAGCCATTCAAAGAACTTATAAACTAGCCTGCTGGGAGCAAAAGGAGACTTTATGAGGGTGGCTCTAATCATGAAATAGAAAGAAGCAGAGACAGGCAAGGCTAAGCTCTTACCCTCAAAGATTTGGTACAAAAGACAGAATACGTTGTGCGACAAATATCATTATCTTTATTGCTATAGCACATATCCTATAGTCCCTTTCTGTCTACAGTAAGTTTCTTACAAGTATCTGTTTCCAGTGCTTCACACAGGCTAGATAGAAAATGAATGCCATTGAAACTATAATCTCTAGCAAACACTAGAAAAAATCCATTAATGTCACATAATAGGTGCTCAATAAATACTGTACTAGTTAAATTGGATGGATTTTTCAGTCTCCATCCCATTTAGTTCTTAATATCTATACTGTTCATTTATAGTATGAAGACACTTAGTGCTTGGTATTTCATTTACTCTCCTTTTTATATAATTGTCTCTGCATTAAATTGCAAGATTTATTCTACCTCAAGTCCTATGTTCAGAATGTTAATATCCTTTATAAAGCTTGTTAGAGTACTGAGTCTATAGCAGACTAACCATCATGGTTGCAAAACAAGGTACACAGTTGGGTGAATTAATGAATTAAGCAGAATTGAATTTTACAAATAGGAAGTATAATTACTTTGGAGACTAGGTCTAGTGTGGGAGCATGCTACAAAATCAATGATACTACCTCTTTTAGAAAGATAAAGGTTAAATAAATGGCCCCCTGGTGACTACTTTTTTTGTTTATGCATAAGATTTCTTAGCTTCTCACCACACATATACATAAAACACAACAGGCAAGGAGAGCTATCAATTGCTTCATGCCGAGGGGCCAGTGCTTGCTCCTTTGAGGTTTTCTGGGCATATGCTGCCTCTATTCATCCTCCCATGGATACTCCTGCTGTTCAGGAGTGGGAAACCTTTTTTAAATTTTTTTTTCCAAGGACAATGATAACATCACAGACCATATAAAATTATCAATTTAAAAATTAGCCTGCTATAGATTTATTCTTTGTGCCCACTTATAATTTTGAGCCCCACTTGTGGTTGCCTTAGCAGGGCAGACCAAATGATTTCACAAGCTTCCAATAGTCCATGGGCCTGACAGTCCCCTCTCCAATAATCAGAGATGCCAAAGTGATTATAAATGAGGTTACTGCAAACACAAAGAAAACAGAAACCTCTCAGATTGAAGTCTGTATTCACAGACTTCTCAATGTGAAATCCTGTCGTGATATTAAAACTAATTGTATGAGTACTTATTAAACTGTAATAGATTTAACTTGGTACCAGCTCATCTGAAATAAAGGGAAAGGCAGGGTAGCCTAGGTTGCTTAAACAATGCATCCCGCAGTGGCTGGGGAACCCACACTCCTGTTATCACATGGCTCCACCATCTGCCAGGGTCTTGTGTTCTTGCACCAACTTGGAAAAAGTAGAAAATGGGAACTTGACAGAGCATATTTGTTTTCCCAAAGACTTAAAATTGGGTGCTTGTCTGTCCTGCTCACATTCTATAGACGAATACATTCTGTAGCCACATGTATCTCAAGATAATGTAGGAAATATAATCTAGCCACATGTTCAAGAAATAGACGGTTTTTTCATGAAATGATAACAATCTGTGACACAAATTGTAGATGACTTTAGATTAAAAGGAAGAAAGGAGGACGTGGTCCCCATAAATAGCAGTGCAAGTGTTCACAATAAGAAACGCAGTGGGTTTAGGGTAGGAGAGTGGTCCAGCTCAGCTAGGGCAAATGTCTGGAGACTGTATTTAAAAAAAAATATTGTAAACCAAGAGCTGCAACAGATGAAGATTGACCAAGGCGGTAGGAGACAAATATTATGGCCACGGATAAAGAATGCCTGGAATTGGAGATGTTGTTCCTGAGCACGGAAAGGTATGGGGACATGGCAGTGTTAGCAAACAGATTGATAAAAGAGAAAGTAAACTTATTCTAGAAGGCTTCAAAAGCCTGAATTATGACTCCTACAGCGTATATGATGATGGAACTGTGAATGCCTCATTGTTCCAGTTCTTAGCACCTGACCTGTCACACCTTAATTCTTGTTGACTGAGTCACGATGAAATTAGTTAGGTAATTAATGCCCAGGACCCAGATTTCAGGTGTGGATCCTAACAGAACTCCTTAATGAGCACAAGGCTGTCCTACCAAAGGCACTGAAGAATGGGCTTTTCTGCCTTGAGTGCTGCAGCACCTTGCTGGAACTGATGATGCAGTCAATCAAAGCATTAAGACCCTGCCACCTCTGGGGTGATGCCATGACCCCATGTGGAGTTCTTCAGATGCCACTGAGCCATAGCAGGCTTCTACATCCCAGACCTCCATCTGGAGGAGTCACACAGAAGTGAATGGACCTAGAGAACCATCAGAGAAGTTATTCCCTCAGAGTTGGACGCTGCCCTTGGAAAAGTCTTCCCAGTCCTTTTCCTTCTGGCCAGGATTTTCCAGATGTTACCATGGGCTCTGGATCAGAATCTATCTCCACAATGTTTTCGCTGTGCACCCTCAACTCACAGCCAGTGGTCAGAAGCACCTGTCAGCACCTGTCAGCACGTTTCCTCTGCCTGTAGCCAGCAGGAGTTCTGCTGCCTGGAATGGTCGGTCGTTGTGTAAGAAAACTGAATCCAAATAAACAGGTGGTCAGATTGTGTGTGCACGGTAGGGTCACGAGCCCTAAGTGCAGCTCCAGCAAACACTGGAAATCTTTGCATTTTCAGATGAGTCTGCAAAAACGGAGGGGGTTGTGGATCTTACGTGGTTTAGTAGGAGCCCAGGAACTGGAGAAACAACAGTTGCAGCATTACAGACTATTTTTTGAAGAAGATCCAAGGGAGAAAATTGGAGCTTCTTTCTTTTTGCAATAGTGGTCTTAGCACCCACAGAAATAACTCACTTTCACTACATCTTTCTTAACATTTTCATGTTCTTTAATTTCTTCTGATGCACGTATTTCATCATGTGAAACTTGAACGGAGAAAATGGCTAACAGAAAGTATCTTAGAAAAACATACCTCTCATATCTCAGTTGTATCAAAAGAGAAACTGCCATAGGACAGAAAGAAATGCCCTCTCCTCTTTAAAACTGAAAAATAAAATAAAATAAACTCCAAGGTACTAGGGAGTATCCTAAGTGGAGTCAGGGAAAAAAATGGCTAGATTGATTCGTATGTTTATTTGTTTAATACTTTCCTTGCTCTGGAAGTGATTTTAGAAAAACTTACAAAACTCAGCATGTAAGGGAAAATTTAAAGGAAGATTCAACAGAAGAAAACAAAGTGGGGTAAGAATGAACTTCAACGACTAGACAGTCTAAGGAGTGCTGTTGGGTTTTCAGGTCTGTGATTGGATAGTCTTGTGTCCCATTTTTAGATTTTATTGTGTCTATGTTTTCAGTAGGAGCTTTAATGAAATATGTCTGCACATCATAAAAAAAATAACCCTTTTAAAAGTGTGTGGTGATAGCAGTGTGGTATAGTGGATAAAGCTGCTGCCTACAGTGCTGGAATCTCATATGGGCACCAGTTAGAGGTCCTGCTGCTCCACTTCTGATCTAGCTCCCTGCTACTTGCCTGGGAAAGCAGCAGAAGATCACCTAACTGCTTGGGTCGCTGCCCCCACATGGAAGGCCCGGAGAAACTCTTGGATCCTGACATAGTCTTGGCGCAGCCTTAGCAGTTGCCATTGTTTGAAAAGTGATACAAGAGATCTCTCTCTCTCTCTTCCTACATCTCTCTGCGTTTCACATACATAAGTCTTTTTTAAAAAGAAAAAAAATGCACAATGAAGTTTTTTCTATATATTTAATATTTGTATGCAATCAAATCCACTGTCTAATTCCAGATAGTTTATTTATTTTTTAAACCCTGTACTTTTCCCCGCTCCACCTCTCTCCAGTTCTTGGTAACCACTAAATCACGCTGCCTCTGTAACTTCTCTGTTCTGGATGGCTCATAGAAATGAAGTTATCTAGTAGGGATTCTTACCTGTGTTGCTCCTTTCACTTAACAACGGTTTCAGGGTTCATTCAAGCTCTAGCGTGCATCACCACTTCTCTTTATGGCTGAATAATGGCTTGTTTGGGGATATACCACAGCTTGTTTTCTATTCACCAGTCGATGGACAATTGAGTGTATGGTCACATTGCTGAGTATGAAATGGTATCTCATTGTGGGTTTGGTGTGCTGCGTTTCCCTTAGTACCAACGTTTCTTGGGTTTCTGGTCATATATACATTTGTAGAGCAACAAAGATCTACTCAAAATTTCTTCATGTTTTACCTGAGTTTTCATCTTTTTCATTGCGTTGCAATTCTGGATAATAACCTCATTATTAGATCAGTGAGTTACAAATACTTGTTCCTATTCTTTTTTTTTTTTTTTGGTTTCTTGATGATAACCTTGGAAGCATTGAAGGTTTTGATATTATGAAGTCCAGTTTATTTTTATCTGGTTGTTTTGCTTTGGTATCAGCTTCGCAAAGGCTTTGTTTAGGCGAAGCACAGGAAAAATTGCTATCATTTTTTCTTTCAAATATTTTACAGCTTTAGTTGTTAAATTTAGTTCTATTGTTCATTGTAAGTTTAACATTTGGTGTAAA